AAATAGTATGTGTAATGGGGATCCATACGAGGCTACATAGAGCACCTGTACTGCACCTATATCTCCTCCACCTTATATCCCGTGTTCACTAACCAAGGGAATTATCTTCTCGCCATCTTATTGACAGGTTGACTTCCATTATAGATATCCGATAGTATCAATGCCTATTTATTGCCCTTTTTATACCCTTAGTAGGGATGGTATATTGGGTTTCTCCGGAGTAGTGCTTTTGTTTTATACTCTCCTAAAATACGCTGATGAAATTTGAAATGATCGGGCTTTTGATCCGAGCCCCCATACAAAACACAGCTTTAAAAAAGAATTAGTGTCCACAATTCGCTTAAAAAGAGAACTGTCGCAATGAAATTCAGCATAAAACATTTTATGTAACCGTAAATTCGCCCTCCAAATTTTATGAGGATCGACTCATATGATGGCGTCCTTCCCCCAAGCATATTTCAGAAAAATAGTTTTTTAACAATAAAGTGCTAGAATACTTTTATTATGAAAACTAAATTACATTTTACTCTCATAACTGGTGTATGGGGTTATATGGTCGGCCTCGCCCGCCTATAATTTCGTACTTGTTATTTTTATATATCCGATAGTATCTATGCCTATTTAGTATAGCAATGAAATTTGATATTCGTAAATCCCTGACGAGCCAAAACCTCTCTACCAAATTTTATGTGGGTCGGTTCATAATTGACCCTACCCCCATATAAGGTCCCGTTAAAAAAATGACTTTAACGCTCATTACTGGCTTAAAAATACGAGTATAGCGATGAAATTCGATACACATATGTTTCATGCGAGTCAAAATCTCTCTACCAAGTTTTATGTGTTTCGGTCCATAATTGACCCTACCCCTACATAAGGTCCCATCCAGATAAATACTTTAACGCTCATTACTGGCTTACAAGTACGAGTGTAGAGATGAAATTTGAGATAAGTAAGTTTCTACTCGCCAAAAGCTAAGAAACTTTTATAGGAACGTAAATCTTCCTACCGGAAAGTGTATGAACCAAAATTGGTCTAAAAAAATTATGAAAAATTTTATAAAACGGTCAATGATTCACCCTACCTCTCATATAAGGTCCTATCAGTAAATTTGATGAGTAATATCACCCTGATGTTTATAGAAAAGCATATTCGTCTAGACTATAGACTAGACTATAGACAAGACTATAGACAAGACTATAGACTAGACTAGACTATGACTAGACTATAGACTAGACTATAGACTAGACTATAGACCTAGACTATAGACTAGGACTATAGACTAGACTATAGACAGACTAGAGACTAGACTATAGACTAGACTATAGACTAGACTATAGACTAGACTATAGACTAGACTATAGAATAGACTATAGACTAGACTATAGACTAGACTATAGACTAGACTTAGACTAGACTAGACTATACTATAGACTAGACTATAGACTAGACTATAGATAGACTATAACTAACTATAGACTAGACTATAGACTAGACTATAGACTAGACCTATTGACGTAGACTATAGACTAGACCTATAGACTAGACGATAGATCTAGACATAGACTAGACTATAGACTAGACTATAGACTAGACTATAGACTAGGACTATAGACTAGACTATAGACTAGAACTATAGACTAGACTATAGACTAGACTATAGACTAGATAAGGCTAGACATAGACTAGACTATAGACTAGACTATAGGACTAGACTATAGACTAGACTATAGACTAGACTATAGACTAGACTATTAGACTACTATAGACTAGACTATAGACTAGACTATAGACTAGACTAGACTAGTACTATAGGACTAGCCTGACTATAGACTATAGTTTAGTCTACAGAACTATATACTAAACTATAGACTAGACTATAGTTCGAATATAGACTAGACTATAGAATAGACTAAATACAAGCCTATAGACTAAACTATAGACTAGAGTATGACTATTGACTAGACTATAGACTAGACTATAGACTAACTATAGACCAAGACTATAGACTAGACTACAGATTAGACCATAGACTATACATTATTTTAAATGGTAAACAATTTATCAGTTATGTGTTGTGTACATGTAACCAATGATATTTTAGAATAAATTATCAATTACCAAAATTACATAAAATCCTTCTTATATTATATATAAAAAATATAAAAAACTAGACTCTGCGATCCTGCCAGGAGTCGAACCTGGAATCTTCTGATCCGTAGTCAGACGCGTTATCCATTGCGCCACAGGACCGTGCTGCTTCTCGCTGTCAAAGTTTCGCACTAATACTAACGCTAGTATTCAAAGTAGAAAAAGCTTTTTCTAATAAGTTCTATTAACCCAATAGGAAATTTAGTATCACGCATTATAACTTTGACGCAGAATTGAAAACAACTTGTGTGCGTTATCAGTAAAACGGACAAGAAAGTCATAAATTTTAAAAGAAGGGTGTTGCTTCTTGGTTTCGTTACATGTTGTTTATGGAATTTCAAATTTATTAAGTGATTTATTTCTAAAGAAAACTCGGCTGCATATAACAATTAACTTTACATGATAATATGCTAAATAATACAAAACGAAATATAGATAGACTTGACTTTAAAAAAAAAAAGAGCACTTGTTGATTGTTAAGCAAATCAGGTCACACACATTAATCATTTTATGCAATTTTATAACGATTTTTATGCACTGCCTCAACATTGAATGCCTTCATGAATGCATTAATTTTAAATGCTAGAACAGTGGTCGGCATTTACTGCCAACAGAGAACGAGAGCAATTTGCGAAAAATATGAAAATGTACAAATAATAAACCAAAGTTACCGCCAAAAACTTTTATAGAGCAGAGTTGTCTCATGTTTCACAAATTTATTATTTCAAGTTTGCACTCTTTCTGCTGACCCCTGCTTTAAACTTTAATTATTTGTTTTGCCTTTTTTACAAAACTAACTTGAGATTATTTAGTTTGGGATTTATGCATGTAAAACATTTAACTCATTTATTTAATTTATGACAAACAATTAAATTTTATGTTACAAAAAATTCGAAAAAATATAAAACAACATATTTAAATATTCTCTTTGTTAACAACAAAAGAAACTATTAAAACATGACAACTATTTACACGAAAGTACTAAGCGTTTAGAGAAACAAAAAACATGACAAGAAAATCAAATCATATTTTTCACTATACTTTTTCGTTTTCGGCTTAATTATACCCTACATTTACACATTTTGAAAAATTGTATATGTAACTAGTCTATAGTCTAGTCTATAGTCTAGTCTAGTCTATAGTCTAGTCTATAGTCTAGTCTATAGTCTAGTCTATAGTCTAGTCTATAGTCTAGTCTATAGTCTAGTCTATAGTCTAGTCTATAGTCTATAGTCTAGTCTATAGTCTAGTCTAGTCTATAGTCTAGTCTAGTCTATAGTCTAGTCTAGTCTATAGTCTAGTCTATAGTCTAGTCTATAGTCTAGTCTATAGTCTAGTCTATAGTCTAGTCTATAGTCTAGTCTATAGTCTAGTCTATAGTCTAAGTCTAGTCTATAGTCTAGTCTATAGTCTAGTCTATAGTCTAGTCCTATAGTCTAGTCTATAGTCTAGTCTCTATAGTCTAGTCTATAGTCTAGTCTATAGTCCTAGTCTATAGTCTAGTCTATAGTCTAGTCTATAGTCTAGCTATAGTCTAGTCTATAGTCTAGTCTATAGTCTAGTCTATAGTCTAGTCTATAGTCTAGTCTATAGTCTAGTCCTAGTCTAGTCTATAGTCTAGTCTATTGTCTAGTCTATAGTCTAGTCTATTGTCTAGTTTATATCTAGTCTATAGTCTAGTCTATAGTCTAGTCTATAGTCTAGTCTATAGTCTAGTCTACAGTCTAGTCTATAGTCTAGTCTATGTCTAGTCTATAGTCTAGTCTATAGTCTAGTCTATAGTCTAGTCATAGTCTAGTCTATAGTCTAGTCTATAGTCTAGTCTATAGTCTAGTCTATAGTCTAGTCTATAGTCTAGTCTATATTCTAGTCTATAGTCTAGTCTATAGTCTAGTCTATAGTCTAGTCTAGTCTATAGTCTAGTCTATAGTCTAGTCTATGGTCTCTAATAATCTAAATAATTGGCCATTGATTTCTCTCACACCTTCTATTTGACAATCATTTTTTTGTTCGCGCTCCTTTAGACTAATGCACCTTTATTTATTGTCATAAAAACCATTTAAAATGACCATAAAATAGATATGGCACAATCTTTTCTTTAAAAATTGTTGCTAAACTGAATCGTACATGACATAAATTGTCGTATATCGAATTTAATGTTTACTTTTTGTGGTAATATTTGCCACCAGTTTTTTTGTCTCTATTTTTTGAACAAATTTTTAAATAGGTAGTAAATACTGTGACACAACATTTATCATTTATTAGAATTAATTAAAATGGTGTTTTCAAGCTAAAAAGACATACTTAGATACAAATACAAACATTAGGTTACAAATGCCACTTTTTATTCGAAAGGTTGTTAAATTTTTTCCATATTCTGTTGTCATTTGAATTCAAATTGCCTTCGTTTAAACCAAATATGCGTAAAATATTTAAAATTATATTGAAATTTACCAAGAATTTTACGCACTTGTTTATTGGCCAAAAAGGCTAAGAAAAATTATTAATTAAACTGGTTTTTGTATACTTTTACAATGTATCTGTCATATGATTTTTATTTAAAGTCTAAATATGTGGAACTACTTTTGTTCTATTATTTAGATTTGCTGGTAGCGTACTTGAACATTGAGGAATATTGAATAATTATTTAAAATGGTGTTCTAATCTTCAGTTTGACTTTAATCGTTTAAATAATGGTATCATGATAGTTCTTACGTTGATTAAAATAACTTATATCTAAATTTAAGAGATGGCATATTGTTTTTTTTTTTGCAATTCAATATTTTATGTTAACAACCTCTCAGTTGATTTTTTAAATTTTTACAAAGATAATTAAAAAAAACGTTCCTCGATCCTGCCTTCCAGGAGTCGAACCTGGAATCTTCTGATCCGTAGTCAGACGCGTTATCCATTGCGCCACAGGACCATATCTCCTCTTTGCGGCAAAGTTCTGTCAAGATTATTTTTACAAATAGCTGCTAAAGAACTACATATTTAATATAAAGCATTAAATAAATTTGAGATATACATAGTAGTTCTAATTTATTAAAGTTAACACAGTGGGGCATTATTAAATAAAGAAATTGTGATATGTATTTTAAGCCACGATTAAATTGAAACCATAGATAGATATATAGATAGATAGATAGATAGATAGATATAGATAGATAGATAGATAGATAGATAGATAGATAGATCGATAGATAGATAGATAGATAGATAGATAGATAGATA